TGGCCCCTGTCTACCAGATTATAGCCCCAATACCTGCATTGCTGTTGCCATTTGTTGCTGATGTGATTGTTTTTATCTATCGTTACCAGAGAACCTGCTGTATCTGTCAGGATTTTGTGGCCAAAACAAACAGTCCTGCATCCCGGATGCAGCAGATAGCCACAGCAAAGGTTATTTCTCACACTCACTACATGTGCACCATGGGCCTTGTGGGGGGCGGGGGAATCTTTCCTTCTACCCTCTTATGTTCTGTACCTGGGGTCTGTGAATTAGACAACAGCCAGATTAATAGGTGAGAAGGCATACAAATTTTATCTTATGTTTTTAATTGTATGTGTATGGGGACTTTGCAGAAAAGAAGTGAAAACACAAATTGGCTTCTATACCATTTTAACAAAGGCTGATAAGCTGTGAAGTACCAAAGAGTTGTTCATGCAGACTCATCTCAGTCCCATCTCTGGTGATAAGAGTCACTGTCCTCTTCCTGGCACAGGAAAGGGGGCACCTTTGCAAACAGAAATTGTGTGTCCAAATAGGAATTTCTGCTTTGCTTGTAGAGAGAATAGGCAGGAGGGCAGAGAGCTCCCCCTGTGTTTGCTGTTTCTCAGTTGCCTTCAGCTCAAAATCACCCGTCTGCAAAGTGGTGTATTGTGGGGTCACACATCCCGATCCCTTTCAGCCTCTTGGTGATTGCTCTGCAATCCATCCTCACGCCGGAGGTCAGGTCACGGCCTCTACCATGGGATGGGGGTCACCAGCGAGCAAAGCCAGTTATTCCAGAACATGCAGGAAGGTTGGTCCTGTGGCTTAACGAGGGCGCAGTTACTCTGAGCCATTGGGACCCGAGCCACAGGCTCTGTAGTGACGGCTGGAAGCGTCTGTTTGGGTCTCTGCTACCTTAGCAGGTGGCGGCAGCCTCCACAGGCCATGTCTCTGCTCCTTCCCACATCCCAGTGTGGACAGCTAAACCACGGAGGCTTCCTTGCTTTGGGGTCTGCTGTTACCCCTTTCTGCGTAACCCTCTTCATGGCAGAGAGCTGCCCCTCTGTCCAGTCTGCACCCTCTCCCCCCGGGCAGTGGTGGGCGTGGGTCAGATCTCTTTCTTGGGGTAGTTCTAGTCTCCACCTGCCTCTCTTCTTGGGGACGGGGTCGCCGGACCATCGGAGGCAGTTCCCGGTGGGGCCTGTCAGACAGGCAGGGGCAGGTGCACAGCTGGAAAAGCCTGGAATCCAGTTCCTGGCTTCCTGGACCAGCCTCATGCGACAAGAAATGCAATGACCCACGGCCCCCTGAGGCTCACGCCTTTCAGCTTTACCCCCCAGAGTGAGAGCGAAGGAAGTCTCTCTTGTCCCCACACCTAGAAACTCCTGTCTAAGCGGGAGGGAGAAAAAGAACTAATTCTAATGCTACTTTTTTTTTAATTATTTATTTATTTGAGACAGAGAGAATGAGCGACAGAGAGCATGAGAGGGAGGAGGGTCAGAGGGAGAAGCAGACTCCCTGCCGTGGAGGGAGCCCGATGCGGGACTCGATCCCGGGACCCTGGGATTATGACCTGAGCCAAAGGCAGTCGCTCAACCGACTAAGCCACCCAGGCGCCCCTCTAATGCTACTTTTCAGTGTAAGGATAACGTATCCGTCAGCTGAGGCTGCGTAACAAAGACCACAGCCTGGGCGACTCCAACAACACACGTGTACTATCTCTCTGTCCTGGGGGCTGGGAGTCTGAGCTCCAGGCGTGTGTGGGGCTGGTTCCTCCAGAGGCCTCTCTCCCCGGCGTGCACACAGGCTTGCACACGGGCTTGCACATGGGCTTGCACACGGGCTTGCTGTGGAAAACATGCTTCTGTGTGTTTCACGGACTTTCAATCCTCTGCTTCACTTCTGACGCTTCTGATCCCCAAATGTGTGGGGGGAGGGGTGCTTCTTCCACGCCAAGCAAGCCTGTGACAGGAGCGGGGGCCCTGCAGTGTGACTCAGCTCTGACTGTCTATGTGGGGATAGTTCAGACCCCACAGCTTCGGGGTTCAGGCCCACAGACCACCTCACTGCAGATGCCAGTCACAAGTGTGGGGTCCCCCGTGCTCTGACCCACCGGCTAAAGATCTGAGGTTCCCGCGGCCCCCTCCTCGGGTTCCATTAACTCGCTGGAGCGGCTCACAGAGCTCAGAGAGACATCCCACTTGCTCACTTCCCAGCTTGTTGCAAAGGCACGAAAGGATATGAATCAGCCGCCACAGCGAGATCTGGAATGGTCTTGCCTGCAGGAGCTTTTCTCCCCACGGAGCTCAGGGTGCACCACGCTCCCAGCATGTGCCTGCATTTTTGTCCCCCAGCCCGAAAGCCCTCTGAACCCCATGGTCGTGTCCCCTGGCCACAGCTGCCATCGTCAGGGGCTTTCCAAAGTCACCTCATCAGCACACTCAGGTGTGGTGGGCAGGGGCTTGCTATAAATAGCAAAAGTCACACTTATCACCCGAATCACAGAAATGTCTGAAGGTTTTGAGACCAAATATCTATTTCTTATTATAAGCCACAGTATCACAGCTGTCCTCTCTCCATAGCCTCACGTGGGCGTCCCTCTGTGCGTCTCTGCATCCTAATCTCCTCTTCTTGTAAGGACAGCGGTCCTATGGGATTAGGACTGACCATAGCGACCGCATTTTCTCTTCGCTGGGGTGCAGCATGGGGAATTTGCAGGGTTTGGCGGTGCCCACAATTCGGTCCATCGCAGACACTGAGCCTCCGTCCCCTTCCTTGGACTGTCTGATGTGATTTCCTGACAGTCCTCTGGGACGGGTGCTGCTGACATTCTTATGTCCGGGGCACAGACTCAGGAAGAAGGGAGCATCTCCTGCAAGGACCGCAGGACAGGCCCGGTGGGTTGGTTGGACATGATGGGCAGTGGGGCTGGCTGGAGATCATGAGTCGTCTGCTGGCTTGAAACCCTCCTGGGAATGCCGCAGGTGTGGTCTGAAACTGGGCCCTGTACCCAGAGGGCAGGGAGAGACCCCAGAGACGGGCTTGCAGACGACAGGTGTGAGAAGCAGAGGGAACTTACACATAAGGCTCGTCGTGGGCAGGAGCAAGGCCAGTAGACCCCTACACCGGCCTGCCAAATCGGACAAGCTTATGAAGAGGCCTTAACTGGGCTCAGTGACCATACCACACAGGTGTCTTAACCGCTCATCCGCATCTGAAGGCTCCATCCTAGGAGCAGCCCCTGGGGGTGGGAGAGGCAAATGGAACCCACACTCTTAGGACCCAGGGTGGTGAGAAGCCCCGAGCGCCTGGGTCCTGCTCTCGGGTCGATAGGGGGTCATGCCGTTTTTATGTCATTCCCCAACGTTGCCCCTTAAGAAGGGTCAGCGATGAGGCCAAGAGGAGGGTCCCCTGAGTCCTCCGGACTCTCCAGTCAGGAAGCTGAGCCTGCTCCCTGCCCTGCCCCAGCCACAGTGCAGCCCCTGCTACTTACGTCCCCTGTCCCGCCCGGGAGCATCGGCGCCCCAGGAATCTCGCCGAATACACCTGCTGTGCCCTCCCCTCCGTGACACCCGTCCGGGGGCTCCAGGCCAGGCCTCTTGTTTCCTCTGGGGATTGAGAGAGTCCCTGCAGACCATTCTTTTCTTTCAGTGTGGCAGGGGATGCTTTTCGGTATGCCGGCGAGGTTTCAGGCACGGAGGGTCCGTCCTGCAGCCCTGCTCCCCCATACTGGCGTTCACAGCCCATGAGTAGAGTTAGAAAGACACACAGGATTCATTGTATTACGTAGTAACTGCACACACCAGGATGTAGTTTGCAGAAGGTGTGAAGAGTAAGAGAGACAGCCTCCCTGGCCTGCGAGACACGTCTGAACCACCACGCACCCCTTCCTGCCCCCTCCCCACCGTTAACCGCTCTCTGGACGTATCATCGTCTAGCTTGTCTTGTTAATTCGACCCTGTGTGTGCATCCCCCGTCACAGGTGTCTGTCTGAGCAGCCCCACTCTGACCCCCAGCCAGCGACCAGGTGCTGGCCTACCTTCCTTCATTTATGTCCTGGTTTTCTGACAGATGGTTCATTCTACTCCTAAGCATTTCACACTCAGGCACGTGGCCCGACGACTTGGACACGGGGCGGACAGGTGTAGAACTGAACGTTTAATATGCGCACGTGCTTGGGACAGGCAAACAGACACAGGCGCCCGTCCGCACCATCGTCCGAGGGCTACTAGGTCGGTGCTCCGTACAGACCCCTGAAAAAGGGACGGTCATGCTCTTGAGCTGTACCTCGCATGGCAGCACTCCCGTGCTCTGTATTTAGTTCTCGGATGGATCCCAGCTCCACCAGACGCCAGGCAACTCCTGGCATTTCCTGCCGAGGTGCGGTCTCCTTTCCGTGCCTTTCCTGTGGTCTTCGCACGTGTGCACCACATGCTGGGAGGGTGCTGGAATGTTCTCTGGAGAGTGAGGCTGCGGCTTTCCCCAAGGGTGCCTGGCGGCTGATACAGTGCCCCCACCCCCCGGCAACGGTTCTGCCCGGGTCTCCGGGGGGCGGTTGTGAGCAGAGGATTTGCATGAGGCCCCAACAGGGACACTGCCAAGTGTCGGAAAGGCTTCCATGCCTGTCCGTGTACGTGACCCTGAGGGACTTCAGTTACTTTCTTCCTCTGTCCTCAGGTCTTTGCTTCTCTCTGCCCGTCTCGGGTCCTTGGGCAGAACAGGCACCACCAGAGGCTGTGATGGACACAAAGAGCAGAGTGACATGGACCAGCCCTCCCACGGCATGGTCTAAGGAGAGTCTCTGCACGACAGTCCAGCCCGTCCTGCCAAGCATACGTCATCTGCCAGTGCCCCTGGATGCAGCCAGCTGGCCCACTGCCTTCACCTCCAAGGCTGTCCAGCAGGATGTGCGGAAGCTCACGGAGGTTGAGCTCTGCGCTGGGCAAGGCTGTCCTAAGGACCGTGTGAGCACAGAACAGGACAGCGGCCACGCATGGACTTACTGAAAAGGAGCCTAGCATTGAAGGGTAGCACGGGTTTTCGGGCCAGAACATGGGCTGTCCCTGAGCACTGTGGGCATCTGGATGGCCCCTCCAGGACTTGTCACCGACTTGTACACATACCCAAACCGCAGACTTCTCTTCAGCTTTCAAACCAGCTGCGTGTACTCCTTTGGTTGGTGAAGCTTTAGGAGTGAAGTCTACTGGAAAAAACTGGGTCCAAAGAAACTTCTCGAGCCCACTGTCACATGGAGAGCATCGGGCTGTCCCTGTCGCAGAGGGCTTCTCTGCCCAGGCCTTCGCCCCACTGGGAGCACCGGGTAAGTACCCACCGTGGACTTCGGGTCACCGCTACTGGCCGACGACCGAGAGAGTGCTTGCAAACAGCACCAACGTCAGAAGAGCCCCCCACCCCTGACCTCCGGCCAGCCTCCTCGGCTGTCAGCCCCATCCCCGTCTTGGGCTCGTGGCTAGCTCACCACCCCGCTATAGGGTTTCCCCATAAGTGGAGCTCCTACCGCTCACCCCCCAACATCCCACTTGGCAGGGCTGGGAGGCTGGTCTCCAAGCGCGCACACGCGGGCCGACCATCGTTCGGTACCTTGGGAGGTCCAAGTACCCTCCTGGGGGCGGGTCCACAGCCCCGGGGGGAATCCCACCTACCACAACCTCCCCCCCCCGCCCCCCCCCGACCAGAGGCCGAGGAAACACGGACTCGTCGGGAGTAAGCGCGGGTCGGCACAGCATCCTTTGTGGCTACGTGGTGGCTCTGAAAAGAGCCTTTGGGGTGAGCGCTATGGCTCCGGCGGGGCAGCCTGCGCACGTGCGCGGGGCTTACGCCCGCTCCCCGCGGATGCGGCGCGCCAGCTGGATGTCCTTGGGCATGATGGTGACGCGCTTGGCGTGGATGGCGCACAGGTTGGTGTCCTCGAAGAGCCCCACCAGGTAGGCCTCGCACGCCTCCTGCAGGGCCATGACGGCCGAGCTCTGGAAGCGCAGGTCGGTCTTGAAGTCCTGCGCGATCTCGCGCACCAGCCGCTGGAACGGCAGCTTGCGGATCAGCAGCTCGGTGGACTTCTGGTAGCGCCGGATCTCGCGCAGGGCCACCGTGCCGGGCCGGTAGCGGTGCGGCTTCTTGACGCCGCCGGTGGCCGGCGCGCTCTTGCGGGCCACCTTAGTGGCCAGCTGCTTCCGCGGCGCCTTGCCGCCCGTGGACTTCCGCGCCGTCTGCTTCGTGCGGGCCATGGCTCCCGCGTCGCTGAGGAACCGAAGCCGTCTCCGCCGCCAATCGCCTGCGGCTAGCGTCTCGGGCAGTGCCTGCTTTTATAGAGGCTGCGGCCTCCCCATTGGCCGGCCGCCGGGTGGCGCGAGGGCAGGCTGCGAGGCTGCGGCCTCCCCATTGGCCGGCCGCCGGGTGGCGCGAGGGCAGGCTGCGAGGCTGTGGCCTCCCCATTGGCCGGCCGCCGGGTGGCGCGAGGGCAGGCTGCGCTGTGATTGGCCCGCTGCATGCTCCGCTAGGCCGCCTGCCCCTTATCTGCGCCCCGCGCCCGCGTAACCGCCAGTCCTGTCGGGATCTCACGCGGGTCGGACGAGCTAGTCCCCGCGCTCGCAGCAGCGGGGCAGGGTCGGGCCACCTGGCCGCGGGCGTCGCCTCTCCCCACGCGGCTGCCTCCTTTCTCCCTCCGCACTCCCCCTGGCTCGCCAACGCTCGGGGGGCGGGGGGGGGAGCGGCGGGAAGAACCTTCTAGAAGGTGCATTCTGCGTTCGGCCTTTCCGTGGTGACAGTGTTGAATTTTCCCAGCCGGCGGTGAAAGGCCCAGGTCTTTCAGGGCTGGGCACAGACCCTCCGCGTCCGCATCCTTCCCTCAGGGGTGATTAGTGCGCTGCCCGTCCCCACAGCTGGACCCCAACGACCCCAACAAGGTGCTGCTGCGCCCAGATTGGGTTCAGTGGCCGTGCTTCCCCAGGTGCTGACCTCTGGCCCCTCCGGGGGCCTAGCCCCCCAGCCCCTGTCGTCCCCCTGCAGCACTCGCTGCTTCTAGTCTGTGCCCTCCTCCCTGTGAGAGAAGAGCCCGCATTGCCCGACCCTTGAGGCACTTGCGGACCCCAAGATTACAGCCCTCGGGTGGGCCAAATTGCCATCCCCAAACGTGCAAGGTCCACGCAAGGGTTATTTTGAGCTAAAGGCACTTGGAAATGCAAGCAGATGCAAGGGGAGAGCTCAAAGCCCTCGTTTTCTTCCTGAAAACAGAGCTAAGATTCCCATGTGAAAGGTGACAGGTCTACAGCTGGAGAGAAGAAGCACTTTTGTCATCATGGAGGGGAAGTGAAGACCAGAGAGGAAGAGGACTCTGCACACACAGACCTTGTTGACAGAACTCTGGTCTTCCTTAGGGCTCCCGGGTATCTTACTCACTTTCCCACAGTTGCCTCTCTTTGTTTAACCCAGTGTGAGAGCATTTAGGTTTTGCCCCTTCTGTGGGTCTTCATTTCCTCGTGAAGGTTCCTGTGTCATAATAAAACTTAAAATGCTTGGGGCACCTGGGTGGCTTGGTTGGCTAAGTATCAGACTCTTGATTTCGGCTCAGGTCACGGTCTCGGGGTCATGGGATGGAGCCCCACATGGGGCTCCACCCTCAGCGTGGGGTCTGCTTGAGATTCTCCCTCTCCCTCTGCCCTTCCCCCACCCCCACAGTTGCTCGCTCTCTAGAATAAATAAAATCTTAAGAAAAATAACTTAAATGCTTTTCTCTTGTTAATCTGGTTTTTTTTTTTTTTAAGAGCCCCTACTGAGGCCTAAGATGAGTAAAGACTTTTCCTGCCCTGTTGCAATAGTCCTCTCCCTCCCTCATAATAGTCCTTTCAGATAAAAGTCTCTCCTTACTAAATCTGGACTTTTTTTAGTTGGTCATGATTGTCACACAGAATCTCTGCCGTCGTCCCCGAGTCGGGTCAGATTGTCTAGGCACCAGGGAGAAGAACCGAGGGACCGCCCCGAGGTTGCCTGGCCTATAGGGTGTGCATCTGACGCAGTCAGATGTCCTGAAAGAGAGCCCATGCTTTGAGTCATTTGACCTTGACCAATGTGTAGCTTCCCTGGGAGCCCAGAACCAGGGCCCACACCCTTGAAACGCTGAGAATTTCTTTATCACACATAAAACCTCTTTTTAGGTGGTTCGGTTGACAGTTTTCGTGATCTCAGGAACTGAGTTTCCTGTGGTTCCTACTCAGAGGCACCAAGGCCCAGGTGGAAATCTTCCCCTAAGAAAACTCCCCAAGAGGAGAGAGATCATCTCTCTGAGGACAGCTTCAGAGGCAAACATTCCCCCCGAGGTTCTGGCTTGTCTAGGACACGTGCATTTTATAGATCAGGTTGTGTGTGCTCTGTGCATACATTTGGTGCCAATCACTGTGATGAGGAGAACAAAGGCAAGAGAAAACCCGCTATAAGGAAATCCCCTTACAGCTTGCAGCCCACTGATAAATCCCTGAGCGGGCCAGAGCGTGACCTACAACTCTCCAGGAACTCGCGGATGCCCTAATGCTGACGTTTCATTTCGGACTAGAAACAACTTTCTCTTGACAATAGCGAGATCTCCGGGGTCCTGTAGACCTCACTTTCAGCCTACAGAACTTCCTTAGAAACGTACGTTATCTCTACCCTCCCTCCCTCCACACACTGAAAAGTATGTCATCGGCCACCCCTGCCGTTCTTTCTGCCCACGGGTCTTGTCCCTGTGCTTTAAGATAAACACCGTTGTCCACCAAAGACGTCTCAAGAATTCTTTCTTGACCGTCGCCTTTGGTGACCCCACTCAGCTGCTCATTATCCATCCTGCGTCTGAGGGAATCCCTCCCTGAGCTAGAACATTCTTTCCTTGCTCTCACCACTCATGGTGTTTGCAGGTGCAACTCGGGAAATACGGGCTTGTGTGCAGCACTTTGTTGTAGGTCCTTTGGGATTTGAGGTCACAGGTGGTTGACCTTGTGCGACATTTCTGTGGGGTCGTATGGGAGCTATCGGGACTTCCAGGAGCTTACTCTACAGGTGGAGTGGGGTCCTTCCAGGGGCAGGTGGTCCTGGATAAACAGTGCATGAAGGCTCCCCCAGAGCTGATAACTACAGCAGATGCTCAGGCTTCCAGGTGCTGGGACGACCCTTCTGATACCCCCCAACTGACATCCTGTTCCTCTGGCCCCCTTTATGGGAAATTCCTGCTGAGCATCTACAGGTCCTGCCCTCCCATTCTCTGGGCCCCGAGCACAGTGAGCATTGAATTCACGTTGCCCAGAACCCCATGAGGTGATGGCATTCGGTGCCAGGGGTCTGGGGTGCACCCCAGTCACCCGCCGTCACCCACTGTGGAGGGTTTGGAGGACCCGTGAGGCACCAGAGTGCCTCCAAAACTGCAGACTGGGCCTGGTTCTCCAGCCATGACGGGGTTCCCATAACAGGTGTGATCCCTGTTTAGACCCATTTCATAAGAGGCTCTGCTTGGGGTTGTCTCCACTGTGGTGATTCCCCTCGGCCTCCACAATAGGAAGGAATTCTGCCACGGGGTTCAATCCATGTCCTGCTAACGCTTTGTAACTTTTTCCTTTTTAGGAAGTCTTGTTTTCTGTTTCGGTGAATAGGTGGCAAGAATTTAATTCTTTTTCTGTTTTTGGCCTCAGGAATCCCTCTGGCAGTTTGGTGAAGCTCAGAATATTTTAAAACATTTAAAAATGCATGCAATGAAATGTCTCAGAATGTTTTTATTTTTTTTAATTTTTATTTTTTAAAGATTTTATTTATTTGACAGAGAGAGACACAGCGAGAGAGGGAACACAAGCAGGGGGAGAGGGAGAGGGATAAGCAAGCTTCCTGCAGAGCAGGGAGCCCGATGTGGGACTCGATCCCAGGACCCTGGGATCATGACCTGAGCTGAAGGCAGGCGCTTAACCAACTGAGCCACCCAGGCGCCCTCAGAATGTTTTTAAATGCATGACATTTTTTAGAACTGCAAAGGAAATCGGTGATGCTGAAACAAATTGTCAAAATGTATACAAAATTAATTTGTCATGTAGTTATCTGTATACTATACCTACAGTTGTATGTGTATAAATGTGCATCTTATTACTGCAGTAAATGCAAAGTTCTACCAGGGAAGGACTTGTCACTCCTGTCATTTGGAAGTGGCTGTGGGCATGAAGGACATTTAGGGATCCCTGTACCGTGAGGACCCCATCTGCTGTCCTCTCCTTAGCATATCGGTTATACTTCTACATAAACTTCTTTTTACGTCATTGGCCTAGAGTTTGAAATATACATTTATGACCAATCTAAGTCCACTTTGCTTTTTATTTATTTGAATTTTTATTCTTTTTTTTATAATTCTTTTTTAAATTTTTTATTTATTTGCGAGAGAGAGAACGAGAGACAGAGAGCATGAGAGGGAGGAGGGTCAGAGGGAGAAGCAGACCCCCCGCCGAGCAGGGAGCCCGATGCAGGACTCGATCCCGGGACTCCAGGATCATGACCTGAGCCGAAGGCAGTCGCTTAACCAACTGAGCCACCCAGGCGCCCTTGAATTTTTATTCTTAAAAATATTTTATTTGTTTATTTATTTATTTAGAGAGCATGTGAGTGGGGGTGGGGGGCTGCGGCGAGCAGAAGGAGAGACAGAATCTCAAGCAGACAGCACGCTGAGTGTGGAGTCCAACATGAGGCTCGATCTCACGACACTGGGATCATGACCTGAGTCGAAAGCAAGAGTAGGAAACTTCACCCACTGAGCCACCCAGGCTCCCCCCAGTTGCATATATTACTCCTTTGATGATTGTCACATAGTCCTTGGCTACTGTGGGTTTTTAAAATAAAATAATATTACTCCATTTTCTTTCTGCATTTCAGTTTGGGAGGTGTCTACCGGCCTTTCTTCAGGCTCTCCGATTCTCCCCTCGGCCACAGCCGGCTGGCTGAGCCCGTCAGAGGCGGCCTTTGCTTTTGCCTCGGTGATTCTGACCACGTCTCTCTTGGCATTTCCGTCCCTCTGCGTACATGCACGTCTGTCTACTCTGTCCCCTGGAGCCCTTAGCATAATAATATCACAGCTGTTTTAAATCTGCTAATTCCAACACCTGTATCAGCCTGCGTCTGGTCCTGACGGCTGTTTATCTCTTCAGACGGAGTTTTCCTTGCCTGTGGGCATGTCTGGTAATTTCTGGTGGGAAGCCAGACGTGAAGCTCATGCTGGGTGATGAGAACTCGAGCGAGTCAG